AGAAGACAGTGATGGTGGCAGGTGACAGTGTTGGTGGCGGTAGGAGACAGTGATGGTGGCAGGAGCAGTGATGGTGGCATTAGACAGTGATGGTGGCAAAGACAGTGATGGTGGCAGGTGACAGTGATGGTGCCAGGTAACAGTGATTGTGGCAAGTGACAGTTATAATAACAATGACGCCAGTATAGTAAAATCATGTGCTAAAGCAAATAATCAACAAAATCAACGGAAATAATATAAATTAAACGAAATAATAAACAAAAATGAAGAAATTAATAACCAAATACTAATTAATATATAATAGCTAATCCCAAAACAGTTGATGAATAAATATCCAAATATTCTATCCTTCACATTATTTCCCATACAATTCCATATGTTACCCCAGCCCGTGTGATGCTGATACGACTACCACATTCTTGCATCAGTACTTAAAGTGACTTGCTGTTCGGCAGAATACTCGCGCTGTTCTCAGGTGGAACGTGGGATTCATTGGGTAACAAGCTGATGGATGACCTTCAGAGTTGATCTACCTGACAGAAAATAGCCATTGATAAATCCTTTGGTGTCTAAAGTGTATTACTATATGAGATAATTGTGACCATTAATAGAAAACTAGATAACCTCTCTCTCTCTCTCTCTCTCTCTCTCTCTCTCTCTCTCTCTTCCAGTCACTGGCTCTTAACTTGTGAACGTACGTAAGACACTTTCAGAAGCCCAGTTGCCAGAAATTCTAGTATCGTTTATACAGTGGGATCATCATCCACATCATACACGCCATTATCTCCTGGATCTTGGTGAAGTCATGCAGGTATGGAAACCAAGGTGATGTCATAGAGGTGAGGCTGTGGGGATGAAATCGCACAGGTGAGACCAAATAGATGAATGAACCTTGTCAAATATTAGAGCCAGAGATTCAAGTACTCCTGAAGAGTCACGCCATAATTATCACTTTCCCAAAGCAACAATCTCACCTAAAGAATTACCTCTCTCTCTCTCTCTCTCTCTCTCTCTCTCTCTCTCTCAACTTCAGTCAACAAGCTCACCTAAAGAGTCACACCACCATCCCTCACAACCACAGCCTCGTACTGAACAAATAGAATCCTGCCGCATCATTTTGTGGAAGGTAGTTGTTATCCCAAGGTGACGCACCCATGTCGTAATATTTAATCGCTTGCCGGATGACCTAGCGGGGTTTCATATAGGAAAACTGTCCACTCATCATTTACAGCCGACTGTTGCTTGCTTGCTTACACACACGCGCGCGCGGTGTGTGTGTGTCTGTGTGTCGTCAGAGTATCCAAGGCTGAAAAAGCCAAGCGCTTGTGACCCTAGAGACCCACACATCCACAATGTTGTTCATTTGTAAACATAGAGGCGTTGGTGTTCACTGTTATTGCCTATACTTTGCTCCCACTTATCGATTGTACTTCGAATTTTTATTTTTTAGGTCGCGTTCTTTTCTATTTTTTTTCTTTTTCTCATGTCGTTTCCTCCCCCTGGGAATGGCAGCTTGCGCTTTCATCCCACAAAGTCAACAACATTTACTCAAATAACATATGATTTGGTCCATTGCAAATAATCTCGAGAGGTTCCTCCAGTGAAGGATCAAACAGCTGTCAAGTCTAAGTGTCGCCTTTATGATGTGTTTGTTTCTGAAGTGCTGTGTTGGTGTTCGCTTTAGTCTGTTTGTGGGTAACCTGTTAGTGTTTATTATGTTTATTATTGTAATGATTTCGTAGTCTATCATCATATGACTGTTTTAATAATACACGCACGTATATATATATATATATATATATATATATATATATATATATATATATATATATATATATATTGTAATGTACACAGGTAAGTCAATGTAAACAATAATTAACCCCTAAGTGTCGGGTATCGAACCCGGGCGACCAGGAATCGTAGGTTAGAAGCTTAAACCACTAGACTACGATGGGACTTCATTTGAAAAATAAAATATTTAGGAATTTCATCCGCATATTCAACTATTGTCATTGGTTTTAAATAATCTTATTGAATTGATTTATACAATTTGTTGAGATTACCATTTCATTTATGCCTTGCCCGGGAACCCACAGCGATTTCTAGAGATATGCGTGGACAACAAAAAACACTTATCTGAGTTATCAGTTTTTATATATCAAAACATTCCTTGTGATCACATCTAGTAAAGTTAAAAAAAACATACTCATTTTATGCATCAAAATCTATCGACACACCCGATGTGCGGTTGGGGTGGTTATACAGCCCCGAGTGAATGGTACGACACCAGGATCCCAGCCACACACTCTTGAGTTGGTAATATCGTCATCATTGCCGCACTACAAAATCAACTCGGGTTCTATGGCCCCCCCACCCCCGCCCCTCCATCACAATCTAATTTCTAGGGACGCTCTTGTCTCTAGTGAGTCTAGTCTGTGGTAGATAAGGTGTATAATAATTCTAGATAACTGCCTTATTTTATAAACTTCCTTACTGCTGAGCTCCCACCACGTATAACTTGAGAGAGAGAGAGAGAGAGAGAGAGAATTATTAGTAATTATTCTAGGCAAACAAGGACAGGATGGACAGCAAAAGGCTCTCCCACCCTACACTCCCTCCAGCGTCACAACCGACATGACATTGAAATTTTATAGGAAAGGACGAATGGAGGACCTAAAAGACTAAAAATACATCTGCCCCAGGTAGACGTCCAGAAGACTAGGAAGGTAAACAGCTGTAGTTAATATCTACAGGAGGTCGTTTGGATATAATTGAACCCATAACGATTCAATCTAAATTGCTATTGTTGTCATAACTGTTATATTAGATATACAATTCTGCTCTTATTCGTCATTATTTTCGTTCTTCTACGTTAGTACATCATCAAACAGCTAACCTGAACGACATATACTGTCTCAGAGCACCATCATACAAGATCTTAGTCCACACGTATACAGCTGATAACAGCGGGTCTCTTAACCTTGGCTCCCTAACGCCGTTATGTACGAACGGTTATGTTCCGGTCATCTCCCCTTCCCTTCAATATTTATTTCAGTTACACATTGTATTTAGTTTCTATTGTCCCCGTTTTATGTAAAATTCTAAACTTATTGTAAAGACTTGTAAAAATGTCTTAATTATTGTATATTAGTGTCTATATTAGTATTTTTATTTCATTTTGTAAAGTTTGTACAATGTATTTTTTATTTTTTGTACACTTATGAAAGACTATAAGAAGCAGTTGTGAAGTATAAAAAGAATCAGAAATTATATGTTGATGAAACAAGAAAGTATTGGAACATTTTTATTTTGGTGACGCTCTCTGTAGCTATCGTGTGTGGTGTACATTTATCTATTATTATCTGGGCAATCATGGATAATCATGGTGTTAACTAAAGTATAATGTGTTCATTATGGTCTAAAAAGTAATGAAGTAGTGAGAGAGCATTGCATTTGTTGGGGATAACATTATTTTGAGTGAATTGATTTGTGGCCTTTTATATGTACACGGATGGAGAGCACACGTTTATTATATTTTGTTTGTAAATATTTTTTATTTATGTTTTTTTATTTATAGAGCTGTGTTTTCATTAAACCAGTTTTAATGGGAACAGTGATATTAAATTAAACACCTGTCAGCGTGTCAGGAGATTGTTAGCCAGAAATAAGGTAAAGGGTCTGTGTTTAACATTTAATCTCTCTGTTAACAGAAGCTGTTATTTCAGAGTCTTCTCTGATATTATGGGCCTATGGGCTGGCTATACATCCTCTAGTGAGTCCTATAAGAGGGTGTGAGGTTGTAACAGTTATTATAACTTATTAAGTTATTTTAGACTATTAATGATTATTCTAAAACCACAATTACACATTTTACGTTTTCTTGGCCACGTAAATATTCATTAAGGCATTGCGTCCTAACATTAAACTTAATCATGTTTAACATTAATCATTTTTAATATCTTTGTATAATATTGCCGCAAAAATAAGCTTATAGTTACTGTTTTCCTATAAATCATGATGGAAAATGTGGAGAAACTGAACTTGCCATCTCGACACCGCAATCTATGACAATGATTCCCGTAGGCCTGAAGGACCCCACGGCCAGTAGGTCTAAGGTACAATTTAACTAACCCTGTTTTAGATACACAAAGGAGAGGATTACTAAGATCTGAGTGGATCATTATTCAATCCCATATTGTTAAAAGTGCAATGAAAAATACTTTTTTGCATACTGTGAATCAGTCTGGACCCGATCTTTGGTAATCACAAGAAACACTGGACAACTTGATAGTTCTAAGAGGATGCATTATGCAGCAATGTTAAATGACTTAAAATATCATGTAATAATTGAGTAAAGGAATTCAAAGTTACGAAAGTTGATTGCGTTAATAATATACGCAAATCACTATCTAGAAAAATTACTTGATCAATAAAATTTCCCGAGTGACTTTATATAACAAAAGTGATACCGATCTTGAGCACAAGAAGTAACGGCGACTTACTCAGCGGAGAAAAAAGACTCCTGAGGCCTGAGCAAGTACAAAAACAATGATAACTTATATACTTGAAAGGTGATGTGTTGTGGTGTGTCACGGTCCCTCGAGGAGATGTTAGCTTTCACCAACCTGTTCATTAATGAAAAGGTGAAAGTCACTAAATATACCGCGTTATATATTGAAAGGATCTAAAGAATGTGTTTGTTTTAAAGTAAAGATGTGTATTAGGTGGGAGATAATCAATTAATGACTGTAGTATCCCACTGAGAAATGTTTTTACGAAATGGCAACAGTGTATGGGGCTACGACGATTTGTGACAGCAACTAATCAAACCTAACCTAATCACTAGATATTTAAGATCGTTAAGTAATTAAGAGTGGTTTAGTTGTTTTATATTGTGCGTCATTATTATTGGCTTAGACCTTCAGCCTTCTTGAGGGAATTTTGATGACATCATAAAGTTCTGAAGGAAACTATATTTATTTCACATTCCTTTATTTTTTTCTTCTATTACATAAGCATAAATACATTACAACAAATGTGTTCGAAAAGATCCCCCCCCCCCAAAAAAAAAAATAAGGTAGGAATCCTCTCATTAACCTTTACCAAGAAATGTACTCTTCAACTAAAAGAAACAACCATAATACTAACAAAATATGTAGTTAACACCAAAAATTAATCAAAATACTAGTCCATGGTGTCATAATAAGAATAGCAGAAGTAGTGCTCACTTGGCCTGTTGGTAGAGGAAGCCTTGGCGACACCTGTCATGTCTTGGGGCCAGGGACCATCCTGCCTGAAACAACATTCGTGAATAAGGCCACAGTTTTTCTCTCAGTAATCAAATTATATAAAACATGTTTGATATTTAAACCAAAATTCTAAAAACAGTAATACAAGAGATTGTGGATACTTCCACCCCTCAACAAGGATAAGTACAGCTCCTCCATGGAACTTTACACAGCTAAGTACAAGAAGTCATAATGATCAGAACCCCAAGGAGTATCTCACTCGCAAACCTACCCTGACAATTTTACGGCGATGTGATTCTTATTTGTTGAATTAGGAATATTTTCATACAACATTTTCTCTAAAACAAGTAACTCCAAATACTCATTTGTACTTTTACCCCTCATTTCAACTCATAGTCCTACCCACTGTCAGGTTTCAGTTATCGTTCTAAGGCTCTAGGCTATAAGGCTTTAATATACTCTATGTTACTGCCGTACGTGCTGCCAGTAAGACCCACCCGCATCTCATGACATGCGATTATTCTAAGGAGTAAGGTGGTGGTGCGTTACTAGAGCAACTTCGAGTTGCTCAACAGGGCGTTAGCAGAAAACAAGGTGAAATGTCTGACAACATCCCCTCAGCCCGCTCCTCACTCAGTCTGATGATCGTGGCCCACCTTTGAAGCGCATTAGAGCCTAGGCGTCAATCAATCAGAGCACCGTCCTCATATCTGAGGGTTGGTGACCAAAGTCCTCCCCTCTAAACGTTCTCGGGATGTTTTTACCATTCCTCCAAAGTTTTGTATCTGAGAACCAAGTTTTTAATTTCATACATGCATCCCAGTCTCTACCTTCCCCTAGCCCTCCTGCCCTCAACTTTGCCCATTAATATTTCTGTTATTAATAATAACTTATTATCCTCTCATCCCCAATGATATTATAAGACCAAAGTATCTCATTATTCTTTTGTTTTCCTGTAAAAGTAGCTTATTCTTGGCATTCGCCTATAACACTAGATTTCAAAGACCTCCAACCTCTTCCTGGTGTCCACTAAAAGGGTCCACGCATCTGACCCATAAAATAGTCCTTGCCATATAAAGCCTTTCAGCAGCCCTTTTGTTTTCTCAAATTAAAGTTAATGTCTCCTTTTCATTAGGTCTTTTACATTATTAAATACTGTTTTTTGTTTGTCCTATACTTGCTTTCTTTTCTTCCGTACATCTATCATCACAACTAATGTACTTCCCAAACACACAAAAAAAATTTATTTTAGGATATATTTCCAATTTGAAAACGACCATTACTTTCGTCTTTACAGCATTAACTCTTAAATCATATTTTTCACCCCTTTTCACTAATCTTCGAAAGAGTTTTTGTATTGTCTCTTCACTATATGTGATAAAAGAAATATCATCTGCATATCGGGTATTTGATATTATTTTCCCATTAACTTTAAGTCCTTCATTATCACTAATATAGAAACTTATCTTATTAAGAAATCTGAATATATACTGAATTATATAATGCTGGAGATAGAACACAGCCTTGTCTTACTCCCTGTCTGTGAACCAATTAGTAAGTAAATTCATTATTTACTAACACTGCAGCCTCATGCTGTTAGTAAAGATTCTTTAAAATTCTAATATCTCCTTCATTAATGCGCATTTTTTCCTAGATTTCTATAATTTTATTGTGCATTACCTAAACAAAATCGTTTTTTTTCAAAATCAATAAGCAGATGTCAAAATTTCTTCCGACCTCTGAAGACCTTTCACTCAAAATTCTCCAACCAAATATAGCTTCTTTAGTTCTTTTTCCCTATCTAAAACCATTTTGCTCATCAGATACCTCACTTTCTATTCTAAACTTTATTCTACTTAAAATTATGTTTAATAAAACTTTGCAGGCATGACTTATTAAGTTTATTGTCCAAAACTGGGCGCACTCTAAGGCTCCTGGCTTTATAGGTAATAATACAAATATTGATTTTTTTAAATCATTGGGAAGGTCTGCTTTGAAGTATATATATTACAGATTTTAATAAATCATATTATCCCATTCTCGCCCATTTGCTGTATAAATTCTGCTGGAAGCTTATCAACCCCAAAAGCTATATAATTATTCATTTTGCTCGCAGCTGCCTCAACTTCTGTTTCCAGAATTAATATTTCGATATTCATTTCATTTTCGTTTCTTACCTCTACTCGATCCTTATCTTAGTAAGAGGAAGTGGTAGTAGTATTGGTGTAAGTCGCAGGAAGTGGTTGCAGTAGTGGTGTTAGTAGCAAAAAGTAGTGTTAGTAGCAAAACGTGGTGGTAGTAATGGTGTTAGTAGCAGGAATTGGTAGTAGTAGAGGTGTAAATTGCAGGAAGTGGTGGTAATAGTGGTGTTAGTAGCAAGAATTGGTGGTAGTAGTGGTGTAAGTTGCAGGAAGTGGTGGTGGTACTGGTATTAGTAGCAGGAATGGGTGGCAGTAGTGGCGTTACTAGCTGGAAGTGGCGGTAGTAGTGGTGTTAGTAGCAGGAAGTGGTGGTAGTAGTGGTGTCAGTAGCAAGAAGTGGCGGTAGTAGTGGGTGTAAGTTGCAGGAAGAGGTGGTAGTAGCATGAAGTGATGGTAGTCGAGGTGTCAGTAGCAGGAAGTGGTGATAGTAGTGGCTGTTAGTAGCTAGAAGTGGTGGTAGTCGTTGTAGTTGTGGTTGTAGTCGTTGTAGTCGTGGTGTTAGTAGCAGGAAAAGGTGGTGGTAGTAATGATATTAGTAACAGGCAGTCGTGGTAGTTGTGGTATTAGTAGCAGGAAGTGGTGTAAGCAGCAGGAAGTGGTGGTAGTAGTGGTGTTAGTAGAAGGGAGTGATGGTAGTAGTGGGGAAAGTTGCAGAAAGTGGTGGTAGTAGCAAGAAGTGGAAGTAGTAGTGGTGCTAGTAACAAGAAGTGGCGGTAGTAGTGGAGTTTGTAGCAAGAAGTGGTAGTAGTAGCGGTGCTAGTAGCATGAGGTGGTGGCAGTCGTGGTGGTAGCAGCAGGCAGTGGTGGTGGTAATAGAGGTATTAGTAGCATATAGTGGTGGTGGTAGTGGTAGTGGTATTAATATTGATATTGAAACAGTTTATTTAGACAGACGAACACAGATACAGAGTGGATATATATAATAATAATATTAATATGGCTGAGCCAGTTGAGAGCCTGAGCTCTCTTGAAGACACCTGATATATACTGTACATTTATCTCAAGGAAGTATTATGTAACATTTACTATCATCCGAAATAGTACACGTAAGATAGTAGTAGTAAGAACATATAAGAATGTTACCAGGGGTTACCACTTCAATATTTATTTATTTACTTATTTTATTTATTTTTAACATTTAGATTAAAAGTATTGACATACTTTACAGTGGAGTTGATATACATAAATACGATAACGAAAGGAAGCAATACAACATGGGCTGTATTGGGGTGGAACAAGAGAATAGAGCCCTCAGTATCATGCCTCGTCGGCAAATATATTTATTGCATGCAATGATGGTAGTAGTGGTGTTAGTAGCAGGAAATGGTTGTAGTGGTGGTAGTAGTGGTGTTAATAGCAAGAAGTAGTGGTTGTAGTTGTGCAAGTTGCAGTAAGCGGTGTAAGTTTCAGGAAATGGTGGTAGTAGTGGCGCTAGTAGCAAGAAGTGGTGATAGTAGTGGTGTTAGTAGGAGGAAGTGGTGCTAGTAGTGGTGTAAGTTACAGCAAGTGGTGGTAGTAGTAGTGATAGTAGCAAGAAGTGGTGGTAGTAGTGGTGTTAATAATGGTGTTAGTAGCAGAAAATTGTGGTAATAGGGGTGTTAGTAGCAAGAAGTGAGTGTATTAGTGGCATTTGTAGCAAGAAGTGGTGGTAGTAGGGGTGTTAATAACAAGAAGTGGTGGCAGTAGTTGTGTTAATAACAAAAAATGGTGGTAACAGTGGTGTTAGTAGCAAGCTTTGCAATGCATGTTGAAAACTCCTATATGAATCCATCAGACCTTTATATAGTAAACAACAAGGCTCTAAGAGGGGATACCATCATACAGTCAACAGAGGGAACAACGCAGGGGGACCCTGTTGCAATGGCAATGTACGCAATAGGCCTAGCCGTGCTCCAACACGCAATAAGATTTGAAACAACTGAGTTCAAGCAAGTGGCGTACGCTGATGACCTTACAGGAGCAGGAAAAGTGGAGGACATCAAAAAGTGGTGGGACTTAGTAACATCACGAGGCCCACAAATAGGGTACCACCCAAACGCCAGCAAGTCTTTCCTCATTGTGAAGCCAGAACATTATGAACGGGCAATGGAGGTGTTCGGTGGAAGTGAGGTCAAAATAACGAAGGATAGGCAAAGATACCTAGGCGCAGTAATTGGCACAGCGGACTTCAAGACCGAGTACGAAACGGGAAAGGTGAATGAGTGGGTTAGGGAAATCCAAGCTCTGTCTGAGATTGCTAACACAGAGCTACATGCGGGCTTTGCGGCATACACCCATGGAGTCAGGCATCGCTGGAACTACCTGATGCGCACTATCCCTGATATCGGACCCCTCCTCCACCCTCTGGAAGAAGCTATCAGCGTCAATTTCATTCCCAAATTAGTGAAACACACTCACTTAACCCCAGCAGAAAGGTCACTCCTTGCACTGCCGCCGAGACTGGGAGGAATGGGACTAACCAATCCAGAGGAGATTGTTGCCACTGAACATCAAAACTCAGTTAAGCTCACGGCAGCCCTCACGGACCACATAATAGCTCAGAACGCAACAGGGGAGGTGGATACCAGTGAAGTAAACAAGATTCGAAGGTCCATTACGACAGAACGGCCAAAGTGATAAGTTGCATCAACTGTTGCTGCAAATACCAAAGAATTTGAAGAAAAAAAAAGTAGCTATAGCACAGGCGGTGGGCTCCTCGAACCGGTTAACTACGTTACTCATAAGGGCAAATGGTTTCAGTCTCAATAAACAAGAATTTACAGATGCCAATGCTCTAAGGTACGGTAGGCCAGTAGAAGGTTTGCCCTCCCAATGCGTGTGTGGCTCTTCCTATGACGTCGTTC